GGTCGTACGAGCCATCACTTCCGGGAAATTCAGAAATTTCGGCCACAATTGAGAAGAATATTCTCGACTGCCATGAGTTGCGCGAAGTGTTTAATTGCTATAAACACCAGTTCCCCAGACTACTGTGTCGTCAAAATGATGTGTTATTTACCAGGCTACAAAGACTATATTTTGAATACGATGCTGAACACTGCAGTCAATTTGAATTGTTTGTCAAAAGTTATAGAAATAGTTTGAAATCAATTCAAGTGGTCGTTAATCATAGTTGCGATGATAAGTCAATTGTGGTACTAATGAGTGGTTTAGCAAAAATGCGAGCATTAATTGATTTGCAGTTTTATTTGCCTAATAATTTCCACACAATTAAACACATATTTATCATGAATTTACCACTAATTGGTACCAAATGTGCGAAAGTCAAGAGGCTAGCCGTTCGCAGACCCCATACATGGATGGATGAGTTTATGCACGACTTGCTACGTGTGGTCAATGAAAACTTTACGCAATTAAAGCGTTTTGAAACGACATTCAATTCACAGGAAAATTCATTGACTTCCGACCCATTAAGTCGCTGCAAACGGTTAACCCATTTAAAGATGTTTTCCGGTAGTAAGCGGTCGTACATTACGGACACGTTTTGGGCAAACTTTGCTGAGAATCACCCAAAACTTCAAAACCTATTCATCACTCACACCGATATAACGGACAGTCAATTGAATTCATTGTCTAAACTTAAATATATACGACACGTTAGGCTGGACTGGACGGGACAGGGAGTGGACTACAAACAGTCAACTCTCGATAGACTCGAAAAGTGTCCCAATATTAGGACAATAATCGGAGTGCCAACAGTGCCCAGGCTGTTTTAGTTAACATAACACTGGAAAGTTTTATTGATAACAAGTTTTTAAAACAAAGTTTTAATGTACAAAATTTATTTTAAAAATATTATATACAAGGTCTTTACGAATATTCAAATAGTTTTATTTACTTTATATAAATCAATAATTTTATAAATTAAATATACAAATAAATAATTTAATATTTTGTTATTGATATAAAAAGTATTAAAACTTTATAAAACTTTTTTTGTCCATAACGTTATTTGTTACAAAAATATCAATAACTAGATTTGTGGTGGTAATAATAAATGCATCATTCATTGACTCAAAACAAGTATATTTCAATGGACTCCCACCCCCTCTGATATGTCGTGAACGGTGCATAACATGGAAACTCCACCTATGGTTACAAAATACACTGTAATGTCAATAGAGTTACGGTTTTTCACAATTTATTGCATAATAAACACAACAACACGTGATTTGTATCACTATTTAGTTTGCTTTTAACAC